CCGTGTTCATAAGGTTTCTCTATTTAAGTATTTATTGGTGTGTGTGTGTGTGTGTGTGTGTGTATGTGTGTGTGTGTGTGTGTGTGTGTGTGTGTGTGTGTGTGTGTGTGTGATTGAGATTGAGACACAGCTGGCCAGGAGGGGACAGAGGAGGAATGCTCTCCTGCACCTCTGTGATGCAAGAGGTGCAGGGGATGGAGCAGGAGGAGGGAGGCAGGCTCTCAGCAGACCGTGATCTTTGCAGGGCTGCTGCGGCGCCGTACATGCGTTTACTGTAATGACCCTAATATGACTAAAAAGCACAGAGTTGCTGCTTTCACAACCTGTTGTAATTCTTTCAGTTGAGGTCCAGGAGTTACAGATGTTGGAAGAAAAGTTGCAAACACCTGTTTGACGCCAGCAACAGGTTTAGGCTTTCGAGGGTTAATCAGTCCGTTCACGTGTATACGTGTGTTCTGTGTCAGCTGGTGGCTTTGATGTGTTTCAGGATTTGAGTGACATTTCTATACAAAGACTGATTCACAAAGATAGCTGCCAAGAGCACAGTGGCAGCACACAATGCACTCGGACTGGGTGCTTTTTGTAGTACGAGTACTTTTGAGCTGATTCAGTTGACTTGCTTCCTAAACCCTTGGGTACATTAATGGGTCCAAGTAGTGTTTATTGATAAATTACATCATAAAGAATTATTGTTGAATGGTTTCCAAAAACAAAGCGAGGCTATCGTCTCTTCCGTTCTAGCAATGGTGTCGACTCCCGACAACAAGTCCAGTCGTCCTGTCAGTGCCCCTGTTATGTCACCAGTGTCACCTGGGGAGGCCACCCCGTCACCCCTGCTACCCACCCTGCCTCGTTCTGACCACCACGATGTCTCCACGCCCAGAGGACACCGATATTCCAGCAGAAAGGCAGAGCTACTGGCACAATGCCTGACAAGTGACAGCGTCAAGAGCCACAGTGCCAAGTCTACTCCAGAGATTAAGGTAGGGGATTACCACCGAGCCTTAACTCTACTTATTATTGGGGAAAATACCGCAGCATAATTTATAATCTGAGATTCACAAGACCAGAGCAACCCAGAGAGGAGAGAGAGGTTCAGCTTGACAGACACTGGGTGAGCGCTGTACATCTACAGCACAATTCCTGTATAACTTTGTATAAATGAAGTGATCACATCTTAGCTTTTCTCCTCTCTCTTCCTGGAAAATACGGCCCCTGTGGACTCAGTGTCCTTTGTTTAAAATGCTGATTGGAAATGAACTGCTGCTTGTCAGTTTATGCTAACTTGCCTTCAGTTGTGCTCAGTAGAAGCTGATGTACTACGCTGGACTACAACTTTATTTACATTTGCAAAGTGAACACAGACCAGCGCTCTGGCTACTTCACCCTTGGTTGTAACTATATGAAGGCTGTTGTCCTGTTTTTCCTGAAGCTGATCCTCAGCATGTGAGTTTTGTTTAATGTACTAGACGGTGGGCAGGAGAGAGCGGAGGCATGCCCCGTCTTTGGCCATCACTAATGGGGAAAAAGAACGAAAAAGCCAGGTTTGTTTTCCTTGTACATGATCAGACCTGCTGCATGATGGATCAGACCACCTACAGATTAAAGACGTTTTTATAACTGGATCTGCATATGCTCGTATCGTGTATAAGGAATATCTGTGTGTGTGTGTGTGTGTGTGTGTGTGTGTGTGTGTGTGTGTGTGTGTACTGAGTTTTGCTGAGTTGCAGTAACATGTTCACCTGTGTTTCCTCTGATGGGAGAGCAGCACTCTCTTCAGGACAGAAAGATGGAGATGGTTCGAGTGAGGAAGGTTAGCCTGTCACTGCTGCGCTGTGATCCCTGCATCAGCTACACATCAGCTCATCTTTATTTTGACACAGTGATTTGCTGCCTTGGTTGTTTCATTATTTCTGCTGCCTGCTTCCCTGTGAATGCTGCTGTATTTTCTCTGAGCTTTTCTGAAGTTGAATCATAAATCATTCAACTTTGCAAGTTTGAACTGTATCTCTCATTGCCTGCAGCTCTTGGACAAAGTGGGTCTCTCGTATTATTACTGTTATTATTATGATTATTGTTGTTATTATTATTATATTATTGTAGTAGTTTCTTTCTTTCTATCTGTAAGTGCTGGATGTGTAAATAAGTGTGAGCCTCTAAAGTGGGCTAAAGTGGGCTAAAGTGGGCTCCTATAACTAGGGCTGGGCGATATGACCCAAAATTCATATCTCGATATTTTTTAGCTGGATGGCGATATAAGATATATATCTCGATATTTTTTTTTTTTAGCCATAAGTTAAGAACAAAAAGAGAGTTCTTAGTCACACTGTGTCCCAGATGTCACACGGGCACTTTTATTTACATACAGCGTAGATGTACACGAAGAAATTACTCAAAAATAAATTATCAGCATTTATTAAATAATCATGGTCCATAAATAAAAGAAAACAATGTTGTTTTTGTGCATAACAAAAAGCTCACAATTGTGCAGTCAAAATGTAAACTAATAGACACTGAGCATAATAACAAAGAGACAGATTTCACAGCTGCACCACGTCTGTGAACAGGTGCCATTTGTGCTCCTTATACACACACAGTACGGTAATATTACGTTGAAGCACAGTACGTATCACTCCGCGAGGCTCCTCCCCGGTAGCCGTAATCCTCCGACAATCCATCAAGCGGTGCAGCTCCGTAGCTTAGCAAAGTCATATTAAAACATTTTTTGACAGATTGCTGAGCGCTGTGTACCACATAAAATCGGTTCGCGGTCAGTAAGCACAACCAGAATTCATACATAAGGCGCACTGTCGAGTTTTGAGAAAATGAAAGGATTTTAGGCCGTGCAGCTCCTCCGGGCTGCATGTCGTTAGCGCGGTTAGCTCGTTAGCGCGGTTAGCTCGTTAGCACGCGCCGTCCAGCCCCACGCACGGGACGATCCGCGGTAACTCGCTAACGGAGATTTTCCGCTTTCATCTTGTCATTGCCTGCAGATGAAGCTATGGGGGAGGCGGAGTTGTGTTCAGTGAAGGAGAGGCGAGGCCGAGTAACGTTGCGTAGAGACAAAAGTGGACGAAAGAGAGGCAAACCTGCGGCTCCACAAGTATAATTATAACGTAACATAGACTATATCGATATAAACGATATTGTCACATCTTATATCTCGTATGAAAATATATCGATATTTTTAAAAAACTCGATATATCGCCCAGCCCTACATAACCAGTGTAATGTGTTGGGACGGCACAGCCCCAGTTCCAAAAATGTCAGGATAAAGAAAAAGAGGGAAACATAAACAGGTATTTTATTCACAGTAAAACATAAAATGTTTAAACTGAGACGTTTTCACATTTGAATGAAAAACACTGGTTCTGTGTGATATGATGTAACAGGTGTGCACAAAGCTGGGACAGGAGCGTGTTTGCAGCTTTGCAGCTGCCTGTCCTGAGCATGCTGTGGAGCTCTGTGGCTGCTCGGGAGTGTTTTTAGTTTTGTCATTACGCGGCGGCCCAAATGTTCTCAAGGTTTGGATAGTTCAGGACAGTCTGGACAGTATGAAGCCATGTTGTGGTAATACGTGCAGTTTGACCTGCTGAAATATGAAGCTCTTCCATGATAACAACATCTGGATAGGAGCAGATGTTACACTGAAACGTGTGTGTACCCTAACCCCCGTACCATCAGGGATGCAGGCTTTGGTTCCTCTCCTCTTTGTTTCTATGGACTAGGTTCCTTAGTCCATTTAATTAACCTTTGCACAGAGACGACTTTAGCCTTTCTGCATCATATTCACACACGGCTTCTTCGTTGCTTGACGTAGCAAGCCAGCTGCTTCCTCTTAGTACCACTGACTTTTCCAGCCTTGTGTTGCCCTCATGCCAACTTGTTTTTGGATGTTTTTCTGCCATCAAATTCAAAAGGAGCTTATTTTTCATAAAATATTAAGACGTCTCAGTTTAAACATACTGTTTTCTGAGCTGAGAGTAAAATATGTGAGAGTTGAAAATCATTGAATGCTATACATTTATTTACATTTCACATAATGTCCTCACGTTCTTTGGGCTTTAAATTGAAATATGATTGAAATGTTTTCATGTTGCCTTCTCTCCATTCTGACTGTCGACACATGTTTTAAAATGAATGCAGATGTATTTAAATTAAAAAGAGCTAGGCTCATGGCATGGAGAGGCATTCAGGTATTTTCATCCATCTACGAGACACCTGAAATAGTCACTGAATAGTGTTTGATTTTTTGAAAGCATTAGTTCCAGATCTGACTCAGGAGACAGGCACGCATCCTCCTGCACTTCCTGCACACCGCACTGCCACTGCAGCAGTTTGCATGCACAGAATGTGCCGTCCATAGATGTGCAGCAAATATGCGACCTAGTTCCCCTGGGATCCCTACATATTTCTGTGTGGACACTCTGCCACCTCAGGTTATAAAGCCTTCCAACATTAAATCTGCACCGACGATGCTGTGAGGCTGCCATCCATGTTTGTGTCCAGTATATTTCACACTGACTGTGTCAGCAATGATCAAAATGAAATATTGATTTAGTTCTATTAAGAAAGAAGAATAAGATCAGTGTTGAACCATCGGTGCATTTAATAACAGGTGATGGATCTCAGTGCATTCAGCTGGTAGCGGTATAAATCACTGCAGAGGCTAATAACAAGCCAACTTCCTGTTTTAGTTGTAAAAAGCGAGGTTCCTCAGAATCTCCAGTGTTTCTGCCTTAGTGCAGTTAAGAGAGCCTTCACCAGCTCACTGAGTGTGGGGATGGAGAGGAACTGGGTCCCAGCCTGCTGCGTCAAACACATGACTGTTGTTAACGTTACTGAGCTGGACGCAGTCGGGCTGCAGCCTGCATTGTTGTTGTGATTGCACAGCTCGTTTTTGATACGGCTCATGTCATTGGTCAGTCGTGCTCATGGGACACTATTCAGAATCACATGTGAAATGTTCGAACCAGTTCTTATGTTAAACCAGTGTTTTCCTTTTTCCTCATTTCCACAGAAAAGATCAAAGAAACTTGAGGGTGAAACAATTTATATCAGACATAGCAATTTAATGTTGGAGGTTTGTATCTTCAGTCTTAAATAAGCGCTGTTTGCTGTCACAGCTCTGTTCTTTAGTTCTTTCATTCTTTTGTTCTGTCTTTTGTTCTTCCTAGTTTAACCCTAAAGGGTTGGCATGCACCATTTTCCTGTCTGACTCTCATGCAAGTAGCTTCACTTTACTTTCACATTGTGTTTGTCCGTGTGATAGATGACTGGGAAACATCTCCAGGAAAGTTCACTAACGTATGCATTCATCGTCCTTCCAACCTGTGGTTTACGTCAGTGAATGAAATGTTGGAGCTCTAGTGCGACATAAACACTCACTTCAAACTGTGATTGGTCGAGAGGAGCAAGGCGCTGAATTCCTTTTTCATTGGTTATCAGAGGACCCAGTATAACATCATCTCCTGGGCCCGGATTCACAAAACTCTGAAGTACTAAGAGTTTGTTTCCTGGTGACAACATCCTATGAAAAGTCTTAGAATTTGTTTTTAAGAATTTCCCCTTAAAGTTGGGACTAAAACTGTCACAATTATAAGTTATTCATAAAGTGTCTTAGCTCTGAGCTTAAAAGTGTGGAACAAGAGAAACGTTGAAGCATCAGTAAAGTTTTAACTCACTCGGTGTTAGGCTGGGACTCCCTGCTAATGCACTTTAGGTTTGATTCGGAGCTAAGCGAGGGGATTGTGAATATGAGTCCTTGAGAGACGCGTATGTTACTTTTTAACCAATATCAGCTCCATGTGTGACACCATCACTGCTCTCATTTGGAAAAAAAGAGTGAACTTCACTGATAATTTGATCGCAAACGCTCGAGGGGAAAAACGTGTTCTCGACTGACTTCATGCAACAAGCAGTTTCAAGAAGGATAGAAAACAAGCTTTTCTGACTCTCAGCCATAAACCCTCATCATTTCACACCAGCCAAAGAGTAGGTGTAAGTACAGTGGCTTGCAAAAGTATTGGGCCCCCTTGAACTTTCCCACATTTTGTCACATTACAGCCACAAACATGAATCAATGTTATTGGACTTCCACGTGAAAGACCAACACAAAGTGGTGCACACGTGAGAAGTGGAACAAAAATCATCCATGATTCCAAACATGGATGATTGTGGCAAACTGTCACAATGCTTGTGGCAAACTGCAAACGGGACTTCTTATGGTTTTCTGTTAACAATGGCTTTCTTCTTGCCACTCTTCCATGAAGGCCAACTTTGTGCAGTGCACGACTAATAGTTGTCCTGTGGACAGATTCCCCCACCTGAGCTGTAGATCTCTGCAGCTCGTCCAGAGTCACCATGGGCCTCTTGGCTGCATTTCTGATCAGCGCTGTCCTTGTTCGGCCTGAGTTTAGATGGACGGCCTTGTCTTGGTAGGTTTACAGTTGTGCCATACTCCTTCCCTTTCTGAATGATGGCTTGAACAGTGCTCCGTGGATGTTCAAGGCTTGGGAAATCTTTTTGTAGCCTAAGTCTGCTTTAAATGTCTCAATAACTTTATCCCTGACCTGTCTGCTGTGTTCTTTGGACTTCATGGTGTTGTTGCTCCCAATATTCTCTTAGACAACCTCTGAGGCCGTCACAGAGCAGCTGTATTTGTACTGACATTAGATGGCCTGGTAAGTGGCCTGTATTTGTATAGCGCCTTACTTACTACTTACCAAAGCGCTTTACATATCCAGTCATCCACCCATTCACACACTGGTGATGGCAGCTACATTGTAGCCACAGCCACCCTGGGGCGCACTGACAGAGGCGAGGCTGCCGGACACTGGCGCCACCGGGCCCTCTGACCACCACCAGTAGGCAACGGGTGAAGTCTTGCCCAAGGACACAACGACCGAGACTGTCGGAGCCGGGGCTCGAACCGGCAAGCTTCCAATTACGAGACGAACTCCCAACTCTTGAGCCACGATCGCCCCATAGATCACACACAGGTGCACTATGTAGTCATTAGCACTCATCAGGCAACGTCTATGTGCAACTGACTGCACTCAGACCAAAGGGGCTGAATAATTACACACACCCCACTTTGCAGTTATTTATTTGTAACAAATGTTTGGAATCATGTCTGATTTTCGTTCCACTTCTCACGTGTGCACCACTTTGTGTTGGTCTTTCACCTGGAAGTCCAATAACATTGATTCATGTTTGTGGCTGTAATGTGACAAAATGTGGGAAAGTTCAAGGGGGCCCAATACTTTTGCATCCACTGTATCTGATCAACAAGCCAGTGAGCAGGAAGCAGAGTCTTTGTGGTAAACAGGCTCCAGTCAGTATATTTGTTTCCCAGTCGTTTACGCTCACAGTCTGATGTTTAACACTCTGGACTTTGCTGTCATCGTCATTACTCAGGGTCGTTAAGGACATTTTTAATATGATGAATGTCCTTCATGGCCCTAATGCAGCGCTCATGCTGAACACACTGTGTGTCTGTGATAATGGACTTGTGTTGTTCTCTTTGCTGTGTCCATTGTGCTGTATCATATTCTGCCACCATCATTTCAGAAGAAAGGGATGACAAGAAGCACTGATACTCGTTAATCTACAAATCAAACATTCATATGTAAAATTAGGCTCCAAAGTTGAGCATCCTGGCCTGGACTCAGGAGACGTCATGTGTCTAACAGCAGTGCATGGCTAAGCCTGGTGATTTTATAATGTGTCATCCCTCTCTAAAGTCTGTACGTGACATTTAAATTGTTGGCTTTTTTCAACCTTATGTAAAGAAAAAACCGCTTGATCTCTGAAACACCGTTTCAGTCTGCTCGGATCGGCTCTGTTTGAGTAGAAGAGGCATTTTCTTGATGTGGCTCAAAAACAAGAAATGGAGGTTCGTGGAAACGTCAAAGCTAACAGTTTTCATGGAACGTACTGACTTGTTCACATGACAGGACGTGTCTACATTCAACAGACTCTCATCCTGCTCTGTCACATGAAAAACTTCAAAGCTGAGGTCTTAAGTAGTTACAGCAGGTGAAGCAGGTGTGTTTGTGCTGATGTAAAGCCATCGGCGCTCCACCCGTGTCTTCCTTTCTGAAAGGAGTCAGAATGAAAGTGAAACATCAGAGAGACTCTTTAACCACTGAAGACCGAACGATTCCATCTCTGCCCACATCCGACATAAACAACAGTCATTACTGTACAGAATAATGGCAGACATGACTCAGAATGAGTTTTGCACTTTTTTGCAGTGGCCATGTTTTTCCTTTGTGTGCCGGCTTTGGCTCGTTCATCCCAGCGTGGATGTGCACACAGTCACCGATCTTGCTTTGGTTGTGTTAGCGCTGCCATCTGAATTTTTTCTGTCAGATGACATTGTTGTGTTTGTCCTCATTAAACATCTTCTGCTGGCATTGATGCAAACCATGATTTGTGAGCCACAGAACAGTACGCACTAATCATTAGTAATGCTCTGCTGCTTCCTTTATTACTGCTAACATGAAGCAGTTTGGTTTGTCTGGAAAATCTGTTCTTCCACAACCTCTAAAGGTCAGTGGGACATGGCAGACCCAGCACTGTTGAAATATTTAATATATACTTATAGAAAGTGCAGCCCTGTGTTTTCATTTGCTTTCTTCTCAACCTTAATCGTTGCCTTTCAGCGTAGTTGTTTCCTTCCATCAACCTACTCTCACTTTTGCCTCCTTGTTGAAGGACCTGGATAAGACCCAGACTGAAATTATGCGGCACCATACCAGCATCAGCGAGCTGAAAAGGAGTTTCATGGAGTCTGTACCGGAGTCTCGGCCCAGCGAGTGGGATAAGCGTCTTTCCACCAACTCTCCTTTCCGCACAGCGAGCATCAACGGTCAGCTCCAACCAGCAGTAAGTCCGATGAGCTCGGTGCAGTGCAGCTCATGTTTGTTTTACTCACGTGAATTACACAAAGTTACCTGTGAAAGCTTTTCCAAGACAGGCATGCTGACGTGTCGAGAGCAATCGAGCAGTGAAATCAGTTCACACCTATAGACTCGCTCATGCTGGCTCACTGACACACTCTCGTGTTCCTGGGATGCAGGAACATAACACAGACACTGCTAATGTGTTTGTCGACTGGTGATGGTTTTCCTTGCCATGACAAGTCAGAATGTCTGCTTTGAAACAGCCGCTCTGCACATACTGATGCTCTGATTCTATCGCTGGCAAAAATCGGTGTTTAAAAGCTTCAACATTGACTAAAAATGTATCAGTCCGGTCTTTTTTCTCTCTACGTTTCCATATAAATGTTAAAAATAATGAACACAAACTAATCAGTCTCCAGAATTCACACTGTGTATTCCTACGATTATAAATGTTCAAAATAATATGACAGGCGTCAGGAGACAGATAATGATCAAAGTACATGTGTACAATATGCTTTTGCCACCTGAGTGTGCATCATAAACAGCTGACACAGTCGCTTGAGTAGAAGTACAGATACTTGTGTTAAAAATAAACAGAGTACTGATTCATCTTTTTAAAGACACGACAAAGTAGAGACTGAAATGGACTCAAAGTGTAAAAGAAAAAGAAGCAGTTTTAACACAGCAACATTATTTCAGCTCAGACTGATTCTATGAATGAGTCCTGAACATCTTTAATGTAGAACAACAGTGAATTAAAAGGGAAAACTCTGTTTGTTGCCTCCATCGTGGTCGAGTTTCCTTAGTGTGCACGCCTAAAGAGAAAAACAAACCTGAGATCAGTTGGAAACACGTCACAGCTTCTTCTGTAAGAGCAGGCAGAGGTGATCAGCTGAGCTGCGCTCCTTGCTGCTCGCTCCTCTTCTGTGATGTTAACTTGGTGCTGAAACACCACAACCAGGGTTCATGGCTTTACCAAAATGCTGTTTCTGTCATGGTCAGCGAGGCGAGCCGTGTGGAATTTATTGAAGGACCCAAGATGCGGTCACTTCTGATGTGAGGAAGCTTTATTAATGGAGGTGGTAAATACACAAGGCGAGGGTGGCAAAAAACAGAACTGAGTAAACCTAAACTGGAAAGACTAAGCATAGAAAACAAACCTGAAACCTAAAGACACAAACAGAGCTGCAGGGAAAACCACTCAGGATGACGGAGGGGAAAAACACAGAGCACACAGGGCTTAAATACACACAGCAGTAATCAAGGGATGAGAGACAGGAGGGCAACACAGCTGGGAGAAATCAGGGCTGACGGGACAGGGGAAATGAAAAGTGAACACACTCACATGAGACAGAGACCTTCAGAATAAAACAGGAAACTCACAGACACAGAGAACCAGACAAGACACTGAACTTAACAGACAGATTCACGAGCAGACAGAGTGACACCACGGACACTCTGTCTGCTCCAAGATATCTCCAAGATATAACAGAATAAACAAGAACATAGAATAATAGAAAGAAACACAAAACACTGAGTCGTCAGACTCAGGACAGTTTCACTTTAACCTCTTGTTAAGGGTTCAATATTGAGGAAGGGGAACAAGAGGTGATCGAAGAATAACCACACTGATCCGGCCGGGTGAAGTCAAACGATGATTTTAATGCACGCGTGGGAAGATCACTACGTACGCAGACCGCAACTGATCTCCGACTTAATCAAAGCATAAACAGATATTTTATACCATCAGGGCTTAAATTTAATGACGCCCCCTCAACGTCAGATCCATTTCATACGTAGGTCAGATCAAAACCACAATGACTTTTAACACAGTTTAAAAAGAACATTGTCTTCGTCTTCATAGCAGATGTTTCCTGTCCACCTTTCTGATTAGCGCTTCTTCAAAACTGCAGACAATGATTTGCAGTGAGCGAGCGCTTCTGCAAGCCCACAATTACAAGCAAACATGAGATGTCACGACCTTACGTGGCACTCTGTGTCACCTCTCCCCTACTAACGCTCACAGTCAAACAGAGGCCACTGTCAACCTTTTACTAGAACTATAGATGTAATATAAATTGAATAAATGTTTTAACCAACTGATACTACTTAAAACTCAATACAAGAATATGAACTTATAAATGATAATGAAAATGACCTGATATAAGTGTTTTGTAAGCATGTATTGCAGTTCCTTCTATGTTCTAGTTTCCCTCAGCATGTATCACAGTCACGCCAGTGAAGCTTAAGACCCTTAATGAGCCGAACATCAACTCAAAATAAGCACAGATATGCAATATGTATAAAATAGTTATAACTGCATCTGGAATACAAAGTTAATATGATAACAGTATGCATAAACATCTTAAGGCCATCTTAAAGCTGTCTGTTACACTGTTAAAGCAATGATCATACTGCAGATTATGTTGTGCTGGTAAAATACTTTTGTTCATCCCCACACTCTGATGATGATACAATAATGGATTGTCTGTGAAGAGTTAAATATTTCTTCCTTTTAGACTCCAATCAGTTATTTACAGTGACTTAAGGTGGAATGACAGGAAACAATAACTCTGTTGAAATGTCTGAAATCTGAAAATGTCAGAAGTACAAAGTAGAGATATTTCAGTTCAGCTGTAAGGAGTAAAAACAAAACTCTACGTATGTCTTTGTACTCTGCTACGTCTCGCCTCTGATCAGAAATATAAAATATGTTTTTAACCAATCAGAATGCGAAAGATTCCAAAATCATGCACTGATCCTCCACTAGGTGGCGCTGTTGGCTTTCACCATGTTATTCCACTGCTTCAGCCCGATGTTACCACAGGCACAGACACTTCCTTTCCTGTGACGATGGCATGCTTATGCAGGAGAGCATCTCCACGGCTGCGCTTCCATACCCAGTGACAGGCGGTGTGTAGTCTGGGGCTTTGTGGCCGCGCTGCAGCAGGCCAGCACTGTGCAGCGTTTATGAGCAAACAATATCACGAGCATTGGTCAGCCAGCTCCCCCGGCTTGTGCTCAGCTGCACGCTCACTATGCTTCAAACCAGCAAACCCTAAGACCTTTGCACAGTACTACAGAGCTTTATGCACAGCATGGGTACCAGCAAGGAAAGGCATCTGTGTGAGCTCAGAGAAGGGAAACTCCAGAAGAAATCAATCACACATGATAAATAAATAAATGATAAATGGTTGTGCAGCTGTGTAACTGGGATAACAAAGGTGGAGTGGAGCAGCAGAGTTGACCAGCAGCCAGTGCGTGCAGCACAAACAGTGTGTGGTCATCTTATTGTTCATGCTTGCACAGCTGCCAGATCATTTGGCTGCTTGTAGCTGTTGTAATCAGGGACGGTAGTGTAGAAAGAGTTGATGCAGCTTTCTTCACACACTGCAGAATTTGCTCGTTACAATTACACAGTAACATTAGACAGTTACATGACTGTTATGTGAAGGTTTCTGCTTGATCCACTGTTTTACGAATCATAGCAGGACGTCTGTATTTTGGACAGTTCTATGTAATGAAATGTGTGACAGAAGCTGGGAACCACCGTCCTGTACGCGGTGCCTTTATTACTGGGCCTTCTTAGGGGTTTGGTGCTTCTGGTAAATTAGCCCACATGGCATGGATAACTCTATCCAAGACCTCGTCCAGGCTTGTTCTCTGATATGAACAAATAAGAGGTGTTGCATGGGTGTGCATGCCTCCACCAGAACCAGTGCTGTTTCAATGAAACAACATCTTTGGTTCAGCTCTGTTCATCAGTATAAGCAGCACTTAGTTTGGCGCTTTGTCTTGTCCTCTCTTTGTGTAGCTGCTTCAAGCTTTGCGACCTTGCTTGACCTGCCAGCCGCATGGCTCAGTTAATCTGCGCATGTCCACTGACTCTCATACAAACTGCAACAGTTACAAAACCCAAGAAAACAAGCTGAAGGCCAACGGTGCCAAGAGGACTGTTCCCCCACCCCTCGTCATCCTTATTCCTCCACCCTGCATCCACTCTTTGTTTCCTGTATCTCTCTCATCTCCCTTTCCTCTGTAGCATCTGGGCTAATCCCAGCTACGCCATCCTCTTCCCAAGAGCTTCCATCATCCTTCCCTGTGAGTTTATAAACTGAAGGTCAGAGAGGAGGCCAGCAAAGTTACGATATTCCCCTCTGGCTTCTCTTCTACCCACAATGTGAAGATACAGTTTTTATCTCAGAAATTATATTTTACTGAAAATCTAGCCATAGCAGCACTTTCTATTTTATTTTTAAAATATATAAATGTTTGCTGAAAGCCTCAGGCTAAACTGTTAAATTTCACATTAGTGCTTTGCTGAGTTATGATGTAGTGTATGAAAAAATAAAAATAGCCTTCTCATCATCTCAAAGATCTCTAAAGCCCACGATGATGGACCCCGCTCTGTCCCCGTGCAGACTCCCCAGCCTGTGATCTTTTTACGCCGTTTCATCTTTTGGTGACTGGCTCTTACTCACCAATGAAGGATTGTGATGATCTTTTAAATTTACTGACTCGGTGTATTTCACCTGGAATGAGTTCTCTAACGTTCTCTTCAGACTCGTGACACAGACATTCGCCTTCACTAAAGGCACTGCAGCGGTCAGCTCTTCCACTCCAGTGCTGTGTGTACACATTCACAGGGATGGACAAATCTATAATTACTCATAGATTTGGATTATTTAACATGTAGTTGCCTGATGTTAAGTTACTCGTTTAACTGAACTTGTTAAAAATCCCATTTAATTACCAGAAAGTTGCAGTTTCATGAGTGTGAATCCATGAAATCCACCGTATTGCCAAAAGTGTTCATTCATCTGCCTTCACACACAAATTATTCAATTATTCATCCATAGGGTTTATGATGATGTTAGTTCAGCCTTTACTGTTATAATTACCCATAATTCCGGTGTCCATGTACAGTGAGTATAAAGGGCTGTTCTTATTGTGTTTGTGGGAATTCTCGTTCTTCCAGAAGCA